AACGGTTGCATTACATGTAAGAACTGATTGTTGTTTTTAGAAGAAGCAGGCATTTGTCAAGAAAGGAAATATTAAACTGGAAATGGGCTCTCATTCATTCCCTGAACACACTCCCTGAGGTGCTCTCATTTTCTACTGACCACTGAATCCAAGCCAGGGTGTGAGATAGGCACAGACAATCTGGGAAGATTAGAGGGATCCTGTCAAATGGGCCAGACAGGAAGTTAGGAGTCATTCAGAGACCATCCCTGCCAGTGTCATAGTAGTTAAGGGGTCCATTAAAACTAATAGCCCCAGTTCCCTTCACTGGTAAGAATCAAGAATAGCTTAGGTCTCTGTGGAAATGAAAAGCAAAAAATCCTAAGTCTGTGTATTTTTGTGCAAACACCAAAGCTGTCATGATGTGTCAGAAGAAGAGAGAAATTTCCTTCTGCTTTCATGCTGTTAGCAGGAAACTCAAAACTGAAAGAAAATGAACTGTCCCTCTTCACTATACATACAGAGAATCTCAAAGACACTTAAAAGGTCAGGCAAATTGGTTGTCGTTAAAACTGTACATAAGAGGGAAAAGTACCACACTTAGCCATAAAACAATACTAGTATCTTCCTCCTAGATGGCTGTCATGTCAAGCAGAGTGACAGGTATCTCTACACTATCATGAAGGAACCTCAGACCCAAGACCCAGGGATGCAGGCTGAATGGATTGCTTGTATCCATTCATTCAATCTTAACTGAAACCCAATGAGATAGGGAGTTGGCTGGGTGCAGTGGCTCGTGCCTGTAATTCCAGCACTTTGAGAGGCCAAGGCAGGCAGATCACCTGAGCTCAGGAGTGCGAGACCAACCTGGCCAACATGGTGAAACCCTGTCTGTACTAAAAACACAAAAACTTAACCGGGCATGGTGGGTGCACAACTGTAGTCCCAGCTACTTGGGAGGCTGAGGCAGGAGAGTGGCTTAAGCCTGGGAGGCAGAGGTTGCAGTGAGCCAAGATGGTGCCAGTGCACTCCAGCCTGGGCGACAGAGCAAGACTCCATCTCACAAAAAAAAAAAAAAAAAAAAAAGGTAGGGCATTATTGTCCCATTTAACAGGTGAGGAAAACTGAGGCCCAGAGAAGTTAAATGATTCTACCAAGGCCGCACAGCTAATGATTGCAGAAACCGGAACTGAACCTATTTTTGCCTGACACAGGCAATATTCCATTAGCAACCTTCTCCCAGGTAAGCTGATTATCACAGCATGCAGTTTTTATGCTCAGCTGGGAGAAGTCTGAGCATAAAAGCTGAGAAGTCTGATGAGATCTCCTAGAAGCCCGTCAGGAGAACAAAATGCTCCTTAGATAACAATCCCCAGTTCCCTTCCAAATCAGATACAGGGGAACTTGAACACCAGAAGTTTTTCAGCATAGAACATAGGCCTAGGCACATAACAAATGCTCAGTGAATATTTATGGAAGGAAGATGGAGAAGAGAGTACAGAAGAGGAAAGTTATGTTTATTTTAGCCTGAAAGATTACCTCGATTATTACCAAACAGACACTTGGGTTATAAAATCGTCTTGGTAAACATGCATTTACTTTAAGCAATGTTCCTTGCTGGTGAAACTTCCAAAGCAACCAGTTTATAAAATGTGTTTCAGGGAACTGAGTAGTCTCTCTCTGTAGCTGGAAGCCCGTTAAATATCTGGGGATATGTAACATAAATTATTCAGATCATAGGAGAAATAACTGCTTCATACTGCCATCAGATATTTATCAAGAGCACACTTATGAAGACTTGTTGAAATGAATTGAGTTCTTCTAGAGACTGAACATAATTTTTTCTAGGGTTTGCTAAGCCCAAATGAGTTATTGATGTTGAATTAAACTTCATTCCCAGAACTCAATCTCTTCTTTTATTACGGAGGTCACTTAAAACCTCCAATTTAAACCATCTGTGTGAAAACAGATTGGGCAATGGTTTCTCAAGGAGTGGAGCTTGTTTGCTGCACCTTGGTTTGGTAAAAAGCAAAATCATTTCTCCCATGGCAAATATGTCCTCCTTACTTGGACAGTTGTAATTTTTACTACACAAGATTTTGCTCGTTGATTTAACAGCTTGTGCTTCCTGTTAAGGAGGAAGATGTTTTCCAACTGACTGCACAAGCCTCCAAATCAGGTTTTCCCCATAAGTCACGAGACAAAAAAATACTAGTGAGCTATGATAGAAAAGACTAACTGTTCTTAAGAAATGACATTCTGAAATTCCACCAAAGTTAGCTGACTGTCAACTTTATGGCTCCAATTTTGTAGTTATATGGTTTTTCTCTCATGACTCTAAGTTGAGAATTTACTGCAATAGTTCCATTTCCCTTGACTTTTTCTGGAATGATATAATTCACCTGAGGATAGGAAGATGTCTTTCTCTCTTGACCAGAGATTTAGTTCTTCTCCATTCATATTTATACTGTTTAGTGCAGTGATTCTCAACTGGGAGCAATTTTATTCCTTCCCCCCGCCTCCCGGAGCATTGTCATTGCCAATGGAGACATTTCTGGTTGTCACAATGAGAGGTGAAGGATGCCCCTGACATACAGTAGGCAGAGGCCAGGGATGGTGTTAAACACGCTGTGACATGCAGGACAGCCCGCAGAATACAGAATAACTCAGTTCAACCCAGTTCAAGTGTCCATGGTGCCAGGGTTGAGAAACCCTGCGTTGGTGCAATCCCCTACATGCTCCTTATTAAACCCTGTGTAGAAGAGATGAATAACCCCTTCTTCATTTTCCTCTCCCCTTCAGCTACCACCTTGGGAGTAGCTTTTCTCTACCTTGCTGTCACCTTGAATAGGTGCTTATGTCTACAGTCACCATCTATCTTCTCACCCATCCCTTCTGAGTCTCTGAGAGTTGGGCTTTCTCTTCACTTTCCATAGAGGATGCTCCCCCAAGGTCAGCAGGTGGCTCCTCTTTATCCTCAGACCTTTCTTCATCTCTGATTTAGCTCCCTTTCAGATCCAACACTCATCTTAGAAGTCACTGCCTAAGGCCCACAACAGCCTGATGTTCCGTTTCTCCTGGCCTTCTCTCAACTGTTTTCCAGTGTGCCTTGCTGGCTCCCCTCCCCTCGACTTGTGGCCTAGCCAAGGGTGTATCCCTAGCTCAACCCTCTACTATCCTATTCTCCGTTCTTCCCATACACCCCCCACCTGCTGTAGTAGGCACATTCATGATCCTTCCTAGGTGCGTGCTCTTCAAATGCACAGCGGTCAGCTTTGACCTTCCGCCAAAGCTTAATGAGTCCCTGTCTGCATTCTTCCCAGCCGTTTCCTCTTGGTGATCCTACTGCCAACCTAAGTATAGTCGTTCAATAAACATTTATTGAGTTCTTCTTCTTTGTCAGGGACTTTATTCTGCTGTGGAGACACAGATTAATAGAGCAAGGTCTCTACCTGGTGAAGCTCACAAACCAATGAGGGATGCCGACTTGAAAAGACACACGGCCCTGGCTTCCGAGCTAACACGGATGTCCATTCGGCCAAGCCGCCTGGGACCAAGCAGGCCTGGGACCGCATGTCAGTGAAACCTCAAAGGCCCAGCAGCTGACCAGGCAGGCTGGCCACACCATTTTGGTGCACAGAATCATTAAGTATTGGGGGAGCAGAAACCTTCAGGACATTTAAATGAATTAAATGAATTCTATGCATATACTAATCATGGAACAAAAACCAGAAACTTTTAAAAGGTGAAATTCAAAATATACATATAGTAAGTGTACAAGTTAATGTTAAATATAAACAGGTAACAGGAATGATAAACAGAAATTCATAGGAAATCTGCAAAGAAATGTTCACTTCTTCCCACTGGGAAATCTTCAGGACTTCTCTCCTTCAGCGCTGTGATTCCCTCATCCTCATGGGATGACACAGCCCTCAAGGACGAGTAAATGAGGGAATTGTTATCCTCCCTATTAGTTTGCTAGGGCTGCCATAACAAAGTACTGCAGACAGGGGGCTTAAACCACAGAAGTTCATTGCCTCCCTGTTCTGGAGACTGGAAACCAAAGATCAAGTCATCAGCAAGGTTGGTCTCTCCTGAGGCCTCTCTTCCTCCCTGTCGGGCCTCTTTCCTTCTTCTCCTTGTGTCTTCACACAGCCTTCCCTTTGTGGGTGACTGGGTCCTGACTGTGTCTTCTTCAAAGCACACTGGTCATATTGGATGAGGGCCCACCCATATAAGCTCATTTTATCTTAATCACCTCTTTAAAGACCCTGTCTCCAAATATGGTCATATCCTGAGAGACTGGGGTTAGGACTTTAACATATGAACTTGGAGGGACACAATTCAGCTTAAAATCCTCCATTTCAAGGCCTAAGAGGGCAAAAGGAGGGGGATGTTCCCAGAGCTAGAGAGAGCTGCACTGCAGAGACAGTAGCTGCCACCCCGGGCCGTAGCCCTTGTCCTCCGTGAAGAAGACTGACCCCTGTGGAAAGCATGCGGTGAGCAGGGAAGAGGAGGAACAAGGCCCCAAGCCTCTTCCGCACTCTCTTTTTCCACAGCTTCTCCCACTGGGCGATCCCCACTGGCAGCCCAAGGACAAGGAGCGGGCACCCCCTAGCGGTCAGGCCACCAGAGCCAGAGCACAGCAGAGAAAGGCAAAGGCCAGCTGTGGAGGGGAAAAGAGGGAAGAAGGCGCCAGCCCCTCCTCAAAGCCAGCTTCCCTTGGTGATTTTTGGACTAATACAGTATAGGTTCCCCCTGGTCAGCCTTAGCCCGCATCATGCTTTTGGCCTGAGGGGGCCTGAGACACGGAAGTCAGTGTCTTCTAGCGCCTCCTGTCTCACCTTGGCCACACAGTGCTTCCTTGAGATGGGATTTGATTCTTACAGAACGTCTGCCGTGCTTTGCAGCATTAGAATTTGCCAGCATTCCTTTCGGCCTAAAGCTCAGGTTTGGGATGAAGGGGAAGTTTCCAGCTGTGATGCTCTAACTTCCGTCCGCCTGTGTGTGTGTGTTCTCAGGAGCCCGAGCGGCAGTACATGCACATTGGCACCATGGTGGAGTTTGCCTTTGCCCTGGTAGCGAAGCTGGATGCCATCAACAAGCACTCCTTCAACGACTTCAAATTGCGAGTAGGTACGTTCTGCAAAGAGGTCTCGGTTTCAGTTGTGGCAAAGATGTGGAATAAAGGGTAAGTCATAGGGGACATTGATGACCCTTTCAGTGTTGGAGTAGAACAATTCCAAATGCATCCCATTACAAGACTGGATGACAGAAGGAAGGACACTTTTGGACAAATTAGAAAAAGCACCCCTTTGATTGGACCTAGGCTGCCGGCACTCAGCCAAGGTCCCGTCCACAAGCACGGCACGCACAGCCTTGAGCTGTCGTGCATTGCTCATTCACTGTGAGACATCCACAGAGAGCAGCTGCATTATTTTATGGGCCGTTGCCAATGAAACTGGGGCCTGCCACTAACGATAAGATTCATCCATATTTCAGAGATGTAAACATGTTTTTTTTTTTAAAAAAAAAAAAAAAGTAGGTCTTAGAATTGTTGCAATACAGTCCCAGCTTCCTGGGGCCACAAGTTGTAAGACCACCAAATGTGGGGTAGGTTCTGAAACAGTGACAGCTTTTCCGATTGTGTTCAAATCCTAGAGAAAAAAAAAATCCAACTTTCTTTATAATATTGTTTAAAAAAATAACCTTTAGGCCTGGTGCGGTGGCTCATGCCTATAATCTCAGCACTTTCGGAGGCCGAGGTGGGAGGATCACTTGAGTCCAGGAGTTTGAAACCAGGCTGGGCAACATGATGAGACCCCATCTCCACAAAAAATAAATTAGTTGAGCTTGGTGGCGCACGCCTGTAGTCCCAGCTACTTGGAAGGCTGACGCAGGAAGATTTATTGAACCCAGGAGGTTAAGGCTGTAGCAAGCCATAATGGTGCCACTGCAATCCAGCCTGGGAGACGGAGAGAGACCCTGTCACCAAAAAAAAAAGTAACCTTTGCTTGGTTGAAAACAGAGGCTTCCAGATTTCTAAGTTTTTAACAGACTTTAAGTTGATTTTTTTTAGCATGTTTCATTACTTGCCTTTTACAAATTGTTATTTTTTAAAACGTGTTTTAAGTCATCAAGTCAACACACAGCTGGGTTGCGATGTGTGCACAGTTACTTGCAACCATTCAGATTTCTAAGAGCTTCTTTGACCATGTTATGGTTTTCTTGGCAACACATTTTGCTTCTTCTGACAGTCAGTTTATATAAGAGCAGTTCAGGCAACAAATTCCATCTGAATGGTTTTTAACACTCTCTTACATACAAATTTCAACTTTAAAAAGAAATCTACATATTTAAAGCCATCTTCTTCTTTTGCTATGGGTATATCCTGAATTTCATTTAAATCCAAAGTATGTTACATCTCTTTCACAAATAAGATGTGTTTCTCTCTGCTTGTACTATTAGTTGTCAGTGTTTACTCATATTTTCCTTTCTTTTTTTTTTTTTTTTGAGACAGTCTTGCTCTGTCACCCAGGCTGGTATGCAGTGGCACGATCTCAGCTTGCTGCAACTTCCACTTCCTGGGTTCAAGCAATTCTCCTGCCTCAATCTCCCAACTATCTGGGATTACAGTCCTGTGCCACCGCACCCAGCTTATGTTTGTATTTTAAGTAGAGATGGGGTTTCACCATGTTGGCCAGGCTGGTCTCTCACTCCTGACCTCAAGTGATCTGTCCACCTCAGCCTCCCAAAATGCCATACTTTTCTTTCTACTTTCTCACTTCTGTGCATCGTAAACCCCTATCGGGGGCGCTACCTTACACAAAGATGAGATGACCACACCAAACGTGGGCATGTCCCTTTGACCCCAGAGACTCTACACTGTTTTGACAGCTTGGAAAATGGGCTTCTCAAATTTTGCTACTATGCCTCTTTAAAAAAAAGAAAAAAATGTATTACGTGAGCATATTAGTCAGGGTTATCTAGAGGGACAGAAACAATAGGATAGATGTATATATAATAGGTTAGATGTATATATAATAGGTTAGATGTATACATAAAGGAAAGTTTATTAAGGAGTATTAACTCACACAATCACAAGGCGAGGTCCCACATTAGGCCGTCTGCAAGCTGAGGAGCAAGGAAGCCCGTCCGAGCCCCAAAGCTGAAGAACTTGGAGTCTGGTGCTGGAGGGCAGGAAGCGTCCAGCCCAGGAGAAAGATGTAGGCTGGAAGGCTAGGCCAGTCGAGTCTCTCCACATTCTTCTGCCTGCTTTTTTTTTTTTTTTTTTTTTTTCCCTGAGATGGAGTCTCGCTCTGTTGCCCAGGCTGGAGTGTGGTGGTGCTATCTCAGTTCACTGCAAACTCGCCTTCCCGGGTTCACACCATTCTCCTGCCTCAGCCTCCTGAGTAGCTGGGACTACAGGTGCCTGCCACCACACCCGGCTAATGTTTTATATTCTTAGTAGAGACGGGATTTCACCATGTCAGCCAGGACTGCCTGCTTTTATTCTGGCCACACTGGCAGCTGATGAGATGGTGCCCACTCAGATTGAGGGTGGGTCTGCCTTTCCCAATTCACTGACTCAAATGTTAATCTCCTTTGCACACTCACAAACACACTCAGGATCAATACTTTGCATCTGTCAATCCAATCAATTTGACATTTAGTATTAACTATCGCAATGGGAGAATGACCTCTTCTATTATCAAACTTACAGAGACCAGAATAATATTGCCCTGCACTGCAGCATGGGACCAGAACGACTATTTGCCCGTCATGTGTACTACATCCAAAGTGCCATTTTCCTGGTCTAGACTTCAGTGATATTGTTCAGATTCACGTGAACTCTTGAATGGACCTCCGTCAAGTGGTGTTGATTGACATTCAATGCCTACTTTACCCTGATTGTCCAATAACTGATAAGCTCTCGACCCTCAACCCCATATATCAGCCTTGTTAGATTTCTAAGGAAGCCTGAACTCAACATTTCATTGGCCTTTGAGTCTCTCTTTCCCCACACCCTCAGTCTCTCCCAGGAGGGGGCTTCCCTGCTCTACCTCCACGCACCACAACATCCAGAGGCAGTTCAGGGATAGCAACGCGGAAGAATAATATTGCCGACAAAAGCGATGGGACAAATGATGAGGTGAATTCTCTCCTAGCATCCTTTTCAGCATATCAGGCTGTAGAATCGGTTGGAACCACAAATCAAGCACACCCCTGCACTAACTAGAGATGGCCCAGTTGCCAGCAATAATCAGTCCAGGCTCTTCCCCACCCCCAGAGCTGCTGACCAAGCAGGGACCAGCAGTGGCCAGAAGAAAAGCTGAACTGTCAGATGCAGTGCTGGAACTGCAGGCCAGTGTCCAGCGGCTGACCGCTGGGTGCTCTGACCTGTGCCAGAGCTGGAATAAATTATTTGAGATGCCTAAACCAGAAGTGTGTTTTCCTGAGTACACCACAACATCAAAGGAGAATTTATTTCTTACCTCTTTTGTACCTGCAAAGGTACTGTTTGGAACAGTATTGGGGCTGTTTCCTGACCTAACTTTCCATTGCAAAGGGGAAGCTTTGGCCGAGTGTGGTGGCTCACTCCTGTAATCCCAGCACTTTGGGATGCCAAGGCGGGTGGATCATGAAGTCAGGAGATTGAGACCATCCTGGCTAACACAGTGAAACCCCGTCTCTACTGAAAAAAAAAAAACAACAACAAAAATTGGTGGCATGGTGGAGGGCGCCTGTAGTCCCAGCTAGTCCGGAGGCTGAGGCAGGAGAATGGCGTGAACCCAGGAGGTGGAACTTAAAGTGAGCCGAGATCGCGCCACCGCACTCCAGCCTGGGCGACAGAGCAAGACTCCATCTCAAAAAAAAAAAAAAAAAAATTTTTAAATAAATAAATAAATAAGGGAAAGCTTTGCCTAAGATCTACAATCAGCTGTAGCAGACTAAGCAGTTCAGCAGTCAGAAATTAAATCTCCAGAAATACCTTCATCAATCTACAGTCCAACTAATGCAGGAAGGTGGGGGTCCTGGACCCAGGAGAAAATGTAGGGGGAAGAATCAATTAGTGTCAGTATCCCTATTTCTATATCTATGGTCCTCCTTCCCCTGACTCCCAGAACATCCACGGTCTGCGCATTTGCAGTTCATGGGACAAGGAACCATCCTGCCTGTTAAACTGGAGCTGGGGAAGAGCCCCGGCTGTTTCTTGATTAGAGAAGTTGATTAATCTTTTGAAGCTTCAGCTCCTGACAGCAGAAGCCATATCCACCTTCCACACAGGGTCAAAGCTCAGATGTAGACATGGAATTGCCGTGGTTTTATAATTGCAGTTATTAAAAGGGGGAGGTGAGCACAACGTCTGTCACCTCTGTAGTTAGCAGTGGCCCAGGGCACCTGCTCACCTGGGGAAGAAACACTTCCTCAACCTCCACCTCCCAGGCTCAAGAGATCCTCCTGCCTCAGCCTCCTGAGTAGCTGGGACTACAGCCATGCACCTTGTGCCACTACACCTGGCTGATTTATATATGTGTATATATATGTGTGTGTGTGTTTATGTGTGTGTGTGTGTATGTATTTGGTATCTAACGCCTGGATAACCCAGGGTCCAGGAAACCTTGGACAAGAACTGGGCCAGCTGGGCTGAAGAGAGCTGGCTTCAAGCATGGCTCCAGCGACCTGGTGGTTAAGTTTCCTTAGAGAACACAGTGCGTGAGCAGGCTTATGTCACCCGGGACTGACATTCCTCACTCTGATGAATGCTGAGCAGTCAAGCCCAGCTTCAAGGGGGCCAAGAACCCAAGCAGCAAAAACTGACAGGCTTTCCAAGGCTCGCCTGGAGCCTGGAGCCTGGAGCCTGGCTGTGTGTCCCTTCCCCTTCCTGTGGGAGAGCTCGGTTGCTCTCCCGCTGATGGCCGTGGCATTTCCTCCAAGTGGGAGGTGCTCAGGGACCCCCTCAGTCTTCTCTCTTCTACCCTCAACTTTTCCCCTAAGTGCCAGTCATCTTCCCATGAGAACAATTTCCCCAGATTTGTATCCCATCAAAATCTCATTCTCACACATGAGGATTCTTTCTTAATGCTGACATAGATGGGATCCCTTGCCAGCAGCAATGCAGATTTGGGATAGTCCTTTGGAAAGTGGTTTAGAAATGACAGCCATCACCACAAACACGAAAATGTGTTCTTCCTGAATTCAGCAGGCTCGCCAGTGGGGATGCTGTCCAAGGCAGCGAGCCTCAAGGTGGGAGAGGGCCATGTGCCCAGAGCCTGCTGTGGAGTTGGGGGAGTCGGGGCCTCGGGAAGAGACTCCATAGAACCACTCACCTGCCTTTGGGGCCTGTGTCTGCCACCTGCTCCCTGTGTGAGGCCACTCCCTCGGCCTCCTGGCCTGAATGCCCTGAGAATGAGAGGAGCGCACGTATCTGTAAAGCGCTGAGAACAGCACGGGGGAGTGGAAAGTGCCCTGCTGGTGTGGCTGCGGGGGTAGTTGTGCTTGTTCTTTCAGCACAGAATCAGGGCGAACCCTGAAGTCCAACAGTGGCAGAACAGCCAGTGGCATACATCCATGTAGTGCAGCCATTTAAAATAAAAACGTTTGCTTCAAAATCAACATTTACTCTCAAAGTCTTGGGAAATAGTATAGTAATCATCTCTTGCCTGAAACTGTATAGCAACACAGAAAAACCACTGTATTATGTTTAGTTTTGATGTCTTTTTGTTGTTGTTGTTGTTGTTGTTGTGGAGACAGGGTCTCCTACTTTTGCTTAGGCTAGAGTGAAGTGATGCTATCTGAGCTCACTGCAACCTCCACCTCCCAGGCTAAAGGGATCCTCCTGTCTCAGCCTCCTGAGTAGCCGAGACTATAGCCATGTGCCATGCGCCACCATACCTGGCTAATTTATATATATATTTGGTAGAAATGGAATTTCACTATGTTGCCCAGACTGATCTCAAACTCCTGATCTCAGTCCACCTGCCTTAGCCTCCCAAAGTGCTGGGATTACAGGTGCACCTGTAATCCTTTAGTTTTTTAAAGCATATACATTTTATCTTATGCAAAATGATAAATGGTCATATAAACATGAATCAAGGTCTAGAAGATAAAAGAGGACAGATATTTTAACATTTTTGAGTAGGGAAAATAAGAGGAATTATTTTTCTTTGCTTTAGAATTTCATGAGTTGGGCTCATGTTTGTTTAATAATGATGATTCAAGAATGGTCCTATGAAACCATCCTGTTTAGACAGTAGCCATGGCCGGGCATGATGGCTCATTCCTGTAATACCAGCACTTTGGGAGGGCAAGACAGGTGAATCTCCTTAGCTCAGGAGTTTGAGACCAGCCTGGGCAACATGGAAAAACTCTGTCTCTACCAAAAATACAAAAAAATTAGCCAGGTGTGGTGGTGTGTGCCTATAGCCCCAGCTACTTAGGAAGCTGAACCTGGGAGGTGAAGGTTGCAGTTAGCGAAGATTGTTCCACTGCACTCCAGCCTGGGTGACAGAGTAAGACCCCATCTCAAAAACAAAACAAAACAAAACAAAAGACAGTGGCTATAAGATGAATCTTGCTAACTCATCTCTGATGTGGCACAGGTATTAACCATGGACCTGTGATAGCTGGTGTGATTGGAGCTCAGAAGCCACAATATGATATCTGGGGCAACACTGTCAATGTGGCCAGTAGGATGGACAGCACCGGAGTCCTGGACAAAATACAGGTAATGCAGTGTGCGGTCTGCGCTGCCTTCATCAACCATGTCTATTCTCTTGGGATCCATAAATAAGTATAATAAGGATACTAATATATTAAAACAAAGGAAAAAAGTAAACCTTGAAATTTACTTAAATCTTTTGGAGAACAATTTTTGGGGAAATGTCAGTTTCTGCATTGACTGTTAACAACAACAAAATTCTAACAATATAAAGGCTATTGCATTTGTGGAAACAAATGATCCAGCAGCAACCAGCATGATGGCACAACAGCCCTGAGCATTCGGTACGAGAGTGGTGCCCTCTTCCACCTTTATTACTTCTCCTGGTGCCAATACCTTGAACAGGACTTTGCAAGCGAGAGGGATCATGCATCCAAAACCAGACACAACCCCCCACCTTCTTCTCTCAAGCTGAATTGGGATGAGGGGAAGTGGTAGGCTGGGGAGAGGTCGGATGTGAAATAGAAGGTTGATATGAATGGCAGTGCTGAAATCCACCCAAGGGGGAGAAAGGAAGATCTGACAAATGAAAAGCAGTGGTTGGAGAAAACTAAAATTATTTTGTATGACTATTTCCATTGCTCATTAAATCAGTTATAATCCTGGTTAAAGTATGTTACAATAGCACTAATAACATATTTTTTAAAGTATTTTAAAATCACTGAAAAGATAATAGAAAAAAAAGTCTGTTACTAAAGCTGTGCTGAAACTAGTCTAATCTTCTCATGCAACTGCTCAGTTGATGACGCTGAAACTATCCCCCAAGCTACAAAAGAGCAGTGGTTCAGCCCAGGTTGACAGTGACAGAATATTCCGTACCCACGTCCTGTGCTCCTCCCACGCGCTGTGGAGCCTGCTCAGTTGCCCAGCTAGAACAAGAATCGTGGGGCATTTTGGCAGCCTAGTCTAATCATTTCCTGATGGTACCAAGGCTTCCAGGACTTTCTGCATAAACATCGCTAGCCACTTCCGATGCCCAGGGATGCTCCAGCAATCCTGGACAACCCCGGTTCTTCTCTTGGCAGGGAAGAGAGGCCTGCCCCTACCAAGGGCTCACTTTCCCACCTGTGGGCCAGCCCATGTCCCCAACACAACACCCGGAATAGTCCAAAGATTTATGGCAGTTTTTAATATGCTTTCCAACTCCCCAAGAAGCTTTCAAGCACTTGGGCTAAGTATCAAAAGCAATTTAAGTGAGACAGGTCATGGAGAGTGCTCCCTCCTGGAGATCGTAAATCTGCTAGAGGTTGATGTTTGAAATGAGTTTGAGCTCATGTGTGTCTCGAAGAGGATATTGGGCTTCATAAAGCTCCATGTGACTCAGGGCAGGTCAGCCACCTGCAGCGGCTCCATTGCGTCTGATCCCTGGAGGGAAAGAAGACAGGTTTCTGCCTGTCAGTAGGGAGCCATGTTTGTAGACCTGTGTTTGCTCCCTGAGCACAGGAGCTGGAAGGGCTGCATTTGGGTGGGTTTTTAAACCCGAAGGTGTAGCTTGCTTCCTCACTCCAGTAAGCTCTCTTTTCCATTTATGTGCAAAAAATAGTGGTGAGATGCCAGGAAAATCAAAAACGATGCCCAGACCATTAATAAGCTTCTCCTAGGCCTGAGGAACAGGTTCTTTTTATTAAAGGGTATTTAACTCCCAGCATGCTTTCTAGCCTGGAAACCCCGAGAACAGCAGAGCAAGCCTACTCAGCAACCCTGCGGACCTCTTCTAGGCCTGGAGGCATAGAAACCAGCGTGCATCGAGATGGACAGCTTCTTCCTCCCGGTTTCCCATTAATCATGTGGCGCTGATCGGCGGGTGGTCTGGCATGACGAACACCAGTGGATAGTTTTAAAATGCCAGTGACATTAGCGCCAGTAAATACCTCAACAGTTAACCCCCAAAGCACCAAAAGATTGGTTTGTTCTCTAGGTGGAAGGTCACTCGTCCAATAACCGCAGAATTTGCAAACCTGAGTTTCTTGGTTTTCTTCATCTTCTTTCGGTTCTTATCCAATACAGAAAGCACTCGCTGGGTTCCTGCCCTCCTCCCAGGGTTTGGGCCGGACCAGAGCAGCATCTGGCACCTGTGCCTCCCTTTGCTTTCCGCTCTGCTCATCAGGGTCCCGAGGACCCACACGTGGGCCTTGTGCTAGGGGCCGTCCTTCCATGACATTGCAGAAAGGTGGATGATTCTTCCATAGCCAGTCCTTGACATCTGTGCATGGAGGATTCGCCCTGGTTCTGGGCGTCCCTGGATGCTGTCCTGGGCTCTCATGAACACAGCCCCTCATGGTTTCCTTGCACTTCTGCCTCTGCCCCCGCAGCGGCATCTGCCCTCAAGGCCCTTCTCAGTCTCCAAGCCCAAGGAGGCTGGAGCTTTGCTGTTGACACGGCCCCCACCTTTGCACCTGCCCCAGGCCACACCACAACCAAAATTGTGCCATAACACCCCTGTATGCCATCACAACGCTGCTGTGTGCCACGACAATGCTGCTGTGTGCCGTAACAATGCTGCCGTGTGCCATGACAACGCTGCTGTGTGCCATAACAACACTGCTATGTGACAGAACAACGGTGCCCTGTGCCATAACAACACTGCTGTGTGCCGTAACAATGCTCCTGTGTGCCACAAAAAACGCTGCTGTGTGCCAGAACAACACTGCTGTGTGCCATAACACTGTTGTGTGCCAGAACAACGGTGCCCTGTGCCATAACAATACTGCGGTGTGCCACAACGATGCTGCTGTGTGCCATAACACTATGTGCCACAACAACACTACTGTGTGCCATAACACTGCTGTGTGGGTTGCAAGCTGCCCAGCCCTGCCACACTCGCCTGGCACAGATTTGTCACTCCAGTGCTGGAGGTGGCCAAGGTCTCACAGGTGCCCTTGTTGCAGCCATGCCAGGTGCCTTCTCAGATGAAGTGGGAGGAGATTGCTCCTTTGTGCCTTTTTCTTATGGTTCCAAAGCAGCATGATCAGGGCTTTCTGTCTGTCCAAACTCAGACACCAGCTAGGGGAGACTGGGTGGAGGAGCAGCTAGCCAACAGAAGGGTCTTCCCCAGCTTCAGACGCTGAGGCCTCGCCCTCAGACCACGCCTGTGTGCCTCACTGGTTCTCTGCTTTTGCAGCTCCTCCACACTCAGGCAGCCCAAGCACAGGCCGGCGTGGGCCCACAGTCCCAGACAGGGTGTCCTAGGGAAGGCGCAGCACACACCAAAGCTGAGAGAGCGCAAGGCTCAGTACGGGACAGTGCATCTCCGCTGAGGAGGAAGCCATGGGAGCCAGCAAGTTCACTGTCATCCGATGGCAGGGCCTGGACATGGTTTGGCAGCTGGGGCCCTCGCCTGTCAGTGCAATGGCAGGAAATAAGTGGTCCTGTCAAGCCGGCAGCCTGCAAGAGGGGCTGCCCTCCTTAGCTCCCCGTTTCAATGCAGTGAAGTGAGGAGACCTTTGAGACTCGACTGGGAGCATCATGCTCGTGCGGACACCGGTGCAAATTCCCACAGTTCTCCCAGTTTTACCCCTTCACTCACAGGCATCAAACCTGACGGACGCAACCCCTTGCGGGAGTTGAGAGTGCTCCTTCTCAGGGTGTTCCTCCCATCGACACTGAAATTGAGTGTTAATGTTTATTATTTCATGAAAGGACATTCATGACAATTTATAAACATCCAGAATCCCACCACTCCAACCTATTTTGGTTTACTCTCTTTTTTCCAGGTCTCTTCAATGTGAATACATAACATCATGTGGTTGAAATCATAGCCTGGATCCAGGCTCAGTCTCTTTTGGTTCGATATTGTCTTATCCACGATAGCATCATCGTAGCACCATAGTTGACTGGAGTTACTTGAATTTTAGGTTGTTTCCAATTTTTCAGTATCCCTGTGCTGAATTAAACAGCATTGTCCTTTACAACCTTTCTTTCTTGTGGATTACTCTCACTGTTCTACTGACTTCTCCGGAGTGGAATTCCTGGGTTGAAGAGCATGGTGCCTTTCTTTGGCTCTTCATCCTTGAGTCAGATGGGTTGTATCAATGTAGGTACTAACTAAGCCCGTTCTCCCGTGTTCCTGTGCCTTCTAGGTTACAGAGGAGACAAGCCTCGTCCTGCAGACCCTCGGATACACGTGCACCTGTCGAGGAATAATCAACGTGAAAGGAAAGGGGGACCTGAAGACGTACTTTGTAAACACAGAAATGTCAAGGTCCCTTTCCCAGAGCAATGTGGCATCCTGAAGAGTCACCTTCATTTTGGCAAGAAGACTGTATTTTCAGGAAGGTATCACACACTTTCTGACTGCAACTTCTGTCCCTTGTTTTTGATGTGCGTGCTCTGTCTGTCCTATGGAGCCTCTGCAGACTCGTTCCCGTGACCCAGTGGCATACCGTTTGGTGTCTGACGTGTGCCCAGATCGTTCTGCCACTTGCACTGTGCTTGCTCCTAAGCAAAAGGGAAAAGGAGCGTGCGTGATAGAAGAAAAGCATTGAGAGAATTAACAAAGAGGAGAGAGGTGAAACACACACACATTCTTAAGGCAATAAAACTAGGGGGTGTATATTATCTTCTGGTGCATGTTCTTTTCTGGAAAATACGGTAGCTCGCCAACCACATCTGCTCGTCTGATATTCAAACACACAGTATTCGTGAATAAGTTGATTCTGTCCCTCACATGGAGTCTGTGCTCACCCACTGTCTCATTGCCAGTGGTGTCCAAGGGCCCCCGTTGGGACCCACGGTTCTCGTCCCTCTGCTCCATGTGTCTCATGCCAGCAGCACGTTGCCATCCATCACCAGAATTAGTCTTCACAGCCTAGGACCAGTTTTGTACCAAACTCGTCTGATGTTTTGATGCCATTTGTCTTTTGTAAAGTTAATTCATTAAAAGTTTTATGTACTTTGATTTACAGTGCCTGTATCTTTTATTTTCCTGTCTTCTTTCTTCTGTGGTTTGCTCCAGAATTAAAGTTTGTTTTCCATCCGTTCTCCCTTTTGACACAGTTGTTTCGGAAAGAGCTCTCCAGAAGCCAATGTTGAAATGTAATTCAGATTAGGACACAGTGTGTGACGCAGATAATTCGTTACTCAGCTCCCTGGAAAGCAGGCAAGCATGTTGAATGTATCTAGTGGTCTGATTTTAATTTGGGCATCTCTAGAGAATGCTTTCAGGGAAAAATACTTTACTAGTAAAAAGATTCCCTGCGAGCAACAGTGCCCCCTCCGTCCACTATGCTCCTGTCTACAGGAATGTTTTGCTAGACCTAACAGAAATAGACTGCAAAAGAATAATGTGGAACCAGCTATGCAAATCAGTCTCACAATAGCGTGAACTAACTGAGAGAAGTACTAAGTCCCACAGACTGCCTGTTAAGTCTGAGAAGGCTGAAGAAGACACACAGCCAACGTTCATGCATTTTTAAAGACAGAAGACCTTGAAGAATTTGTTCTTGTAAATCCAATGCAAGTTGTTTGGTACTTATAACATAAAGAAATCATACTTTGCCAAATAGTGAAAAGTAGAGCAATCATGTGTAATCTAATGTTTAAAAGCAAAACTGCACATTGTAGCCCAGTTGGTCAAACTTGTTTTCTTTTTATAGCTCGTGGCAGGCATCTGTAAGAGGTAGAGGACCCAGATGATCTCTTAGGAAGCCTTTTATTCGTGGAACTCGAACTTGAAGCACAAGTTCCTGGTTTGATTCCTGGCTCTGATTTTTTACCAGCTGTGTAACTTTGAACACATCTCTTAGTCCCTCTTAGGAGTACTTTCCTTATTGGCAACTCATGGAATCGCTAGTGATTAAACGAGGCAATGACTGTGAGAGAGCCTGGCAGGGCCTGCACATTCACAGCACGGGCACAGCTGCTGTGCCAGGACTGTGACTCATTCCCAGTAAAAGGCACTTATCGAAGCTGATAACCATCCTTTATCACCGAAGTGTGAGTACAGCATGACTTATTTAGTATTCTCCCTCAATGGGGAATTTTTTGATCCTGTAATCACAACTCAGCATTGGCCTTAATCTCCCTAGATCTCCAAAAACAGTGGTTGAAGCAAGGGCTTTTCTCTTTCCTCTAATCGAAATGTGGATAGGATGTCGTAGCATTTCCATGAGCTCAAACTGGCCATGGTGTAGAATGTGTAAGGATGAGCAGCAGGTGTGCCTCGTGGGTTCCTCCTCTGTTACATCCTGCTACACTCATCTGCAGGTCTCCTGGGGTAACCTACCCTGAGTGAACACCCCCAGCTGGGTGGTCCACCAAGTTCTCATAAACAGAGTCCCTCCCATTTCCCCATGTGGTGCACTGAACTTGGGTTTGTGCTAAAAAGAACTCAAAAGGAGAATTGTGCTCTCCCAAAGCCATATCACCAGTCTTACCAAACAATAGGCTTTTAAAAGCATTCAGAGTCATTGTCAGAATCCACTGTGGGAAGCTCTGTGTGCACCTGGGCCGTTCTAGGTGTGGGCCCATAGCAGCAGCCTTAGCATCCCCTGGGAACTTGTCAGAAATGCAAATTCTCAGACCCCAACCTGAAGGAGGACCCTGAATCTGAGATCCCCAGGGCGGGGGTCCAGCACAATTGCTATTTAGTGAACAGGTTCTCCAGGTGATTCTGATCCCTGATCAAGCTTGAGACCTCCCTCCCTCCCCAATGTTTTTGCAAATGAGGAAACTGGGGCAGAGTCATTCAGGCACATGTGTTCAGAGTTCCACAGTTGATTAGCAGTTGAGGCCAGGCTAGAATGGAAAACTGCCTGTTCCCTGAATCTAGAAGAGCATTACTCCTGCTCAAAGCCCCTTAAAGCTCTGGGCAGCTAAAAGCATCCCTGTGAGCAAAAATGCCAGGCAGAAAACTGGCAGTGCGCCTCTCACTGGCCAGGCAGAAAACTGGCAGTGCATCGCTCATCAGCCCAGGTCCCAGTGCCACTGCTTTCAAGAAAAAAATCTCTCCCCAGTGCTCTCCTTAGAGTCTTACAGGAAGCTTCTCATGGAAATTGCCTCCAGTCCAGCTACCTAAAAACCCCAGTGTTTTACATATCTGTTTAGAAGTGTCTAAGTTTTGTCATCAATCCACGATGTTATTCTTCCTTCCCAACTCACTGTGCTCCTAAAGGCAGCAACCATTCATCTTTCCTTTGCTCTGAATACACTGAATGACCAGGTAACATCATCAGGCCGGGTGCAGTGGCTCATGCCTGTAACCCCAATATTTTGGGAGGCCGAGGAGAGAGGATCACTTAAGCCCAGGAGTCTGAGACCAGCCTGGGCAACATAGTGAGACCCCACCTCTACAAAAAAAAAAATAAGAAAATTAGCTGGGCATGGTGGCACGTGCCTATAGTCCCAGCTACCTGGGAGGCTGAGGTGGGAGGATCACTTGAGTCCAGGAAGTCTAGAATGCCATGAGCCTTGATTATACCACTGCATTCCAGCCTGGGTGACAGAGCGAGACTCTGTCTCACAAAAAAAAAAAAAAGAAAAGAAAAAAGAAAAGAAAAAGAAACACAATTGCCCAGTGATGAAAATTTATAAACCAAAACAATCCATTAATATAAGAATATCTTATGTGTGATGAGTTTAACAAGCATTCTTGCATTGGCTTTAAATGACAAACATTGGGATACCAAGAGAAATACACTTAATTTCCTCTTACAAATGTGAGATCTTTTGAAATCTTGGCCAATTACAGCCCTGCCTTTTGAAAGTCAGTATGTAGTAGAAGGTGAAGGGAGTAAGGTCTGACTTAAAGTAAATGAAAATAATTTAGTTTGACATTAATTTATTACAGTCACTTACAGATGCCTTGTCTTTGTTGAAATCAAGTCTGAATAATGAATAATTTATAAATATTTCTATAACCCAAACTTTATATATTTTCTATTATGTTACTATAAATATGGTATAATGCACCCAAAGGCATTCGAAATAAACTACTGTCATTTGTTTGAAATAAATAAAAGACACCTACACTGAAAAATTGTTTTCAAAAAAATAAAGAAATATTTAGGAGTCACTCAACCTTGAAATTGCCGGCAATTCAGTGTCATTTATTTTTAGAGAATCCTCTTTGCATATTCAAAACAATAAAACCAGTGATGGAGCAATCAGCATTGAAATTAATTAGGCCACCTGCCCGTTCACTGCTAAACTGTGGGAATTTAATCATGGTAGATGAGAGATGATTTCTTCCAAGGGGTCCATTCATTTAAAACGTAGCTGATACCTTAACACTTGGGTGAGTTTCAAATTATCCCCAGAGTAAATATTTCCAACGTAGGTTAAAAGCGACTGCTTCCAAAAAGAAGACTGTTTAAAGTCAAGTCATTGCTGTGAAGACGGGGCACTGGGTGCCTGTACCTGCACTCCAGCAGCTCATTGCCTCCCACATGAACTCTTCTAGGTTTGGAAATTCCACTTTAAAGATGAGGAAATGTCTGCTCATATAGATGATATGACTTGCCCTAGAACACAAATCTGGAAAATGCAGCAGCCAGAATTTTACCCAAGTTTGTTGACACCGAAATCTAGTCTCTTCCCAGGACTGGCCGTCTCTCCCTGGGCGGTAACAGTGAGCACTGCTGGCCACCAGGGCCACCCATCCTTACTAGGGCTCCTGGTCCCAGCTGCACTAAATTCTGTTATTTGTGGCTCAGACCTCTGGAAAAACAAAAATGGAGTTTCTAGAGTTCCGTTGTGCCAAAAGACAATTGTCATTATATCTCCTCTTGGAGAAGGGAACATGGCAGGGTTGCTTGTGTTACCAGGCAGCAGGAGTTCCCATAACTCTTCGGAAAAGTAACTGCACCTCACTCCTGTGACTGCCTCTCCAAAGAATCCTAGCAAATGTAGAGAGCCGGTGACAAAAACCAACCCAACCATTACCAAGGGGGAACAAAGTTTTCATTTTATTCAGGTGCTCACAGTGAATCGGTCTCCAGTATCATTTGATCAAAAATAATTCCAGCTGAAAATCATCACACCAGAGACTCTTCACATGTACTGAAGGTGTTTTTGGTTAGGCTCCTAACCACAGCAACCTGAGGGAAGCTGCTAACGTTCAGGTGTCCCACTGTAGAGATGCAACACAGGCATAGCCAAGCTCCTAGGTGTCATGGGAAGGGGAAAGGCGGCTCCAGACGCCACCTTCTTGCTGTGCAACCTTGCCAGCCCACAGGGCATCGCGACATGCCCTGTGGACCACAGGGATGCTTCAGGCTGGAGCCATGTGCCCAAAGCCGGGTGCCTTGAGGCTGGGAATGTCATTCTTCCTGTAGAAGTCAGCCTGCACGTGGTTGACGCGGCCGAAGTCCCGGTTTAGGGGTTCAATGGGCTGACGGATGCGCTTCCCATAGACAGAAGACGTCAACACTCCAACCGGCCTCTCCTGTTCCTGGCGGAAGTTATCAAAGCACATAGTCAGCACCACTGCATTCGCCAGCACGGCTCACCCGTACATCCATCAGCCTGGTCCTGGGAGCTTTACCTGCCCGGGTCCCACCACGGTAGACCAAGAGGGGACCTCCACGCTGAAGCCAGCGGCTTCACAGGGAAGTAGCCTATGGCGGGGAACCGTTGAATTTGCTGGAAAGCTGGCTGGTGTATTCAATGGACATGGTGGGAAACTGTGCCGGACCATTTGCTCTACCTGTCTGTCTCTGTGCTCTTCCTGGTCATTTACACGCCCCTGCTGCTGCTGGTCCCTTCCCACCACCCAGATCCTGGCTCAGATGTCCAGGTCCTCCCTGGCCCCGCCCCTCCCCAGCTCCCTGCTCATCCCTCTCACTTTCCCCCTCTCACATCCTCACATGGCTTCGTCTTCCCACATACCACTCATCACCACCTAGAATTTGCTCGTCATTTCCTTTTTTCTTCTCTTTCTTTATCTTTTCTTTTTGTTTTGTTTTGTTTTGTTTTGTTTTGTTGAGATGGAGTCTTGCTCTTGTCGCCCAGGCTGGAGTGCAATGGTGCGATCTCGGCTCACTGCAACCTCTGCCTCCCGGGTTCAAGCAATTCTCCTGCCTCAGCCCCCCAAGTAGCTGGGATTACAAGCGTGCATCACCATGCCCGGCTAATTTTTATATTTTCACTAGAGACGGGGTTTCCCCATGTTGGCCAGGCTAGTCTCGAGCTCCTGACCTCAGGTGATCCACCCACCTTGGCCTCCCAAAGTGCTGGGATTACAGACGTGAGCCACCACACCCAGCCCATGATTTCTTTGCCTTTACTTTTTCTCTCTTCCTTCTGGAATGGCAGCTCTGAGAGGATGGAGCTTTTTTCTGAAAAACTATGTGCCACAGTTTTCTCCTGAGGAAAACACTAACTTTGCATCAACTTAGAAAGCACTACATGTGCTGCTTATGGTGGCTTCGTAACTAAACTTGGAAGAAATGTTCTTTTGTGCACAATTTCAGTTCTGCAAGACCAACTTTTCTGGAAAAATTATGAAAGTCCGGACTCAGCGGTGAAGCAGAGACTTGTTTTATCTGTTGAAGGGAACGTCTTAGCTTTGCTGTCCTTAAATTTTTAAATTCTAAAGAACCAAACAACAATATCAAGAAAAATACACAATGACATGACTGAATACAGGGAACTATAAGAGTATCTTAGCCTTAGCTTCTTGGCACAAAAAGATAGAGGAGAGCTGCATCAAGAAAATTACATAAAGCAACTGAGGACAATATTAAATATATATGTGTATGTGCGCATATACACACACATGCATGTACATACCTATGCACACACATGTACAAGCATACAATATACACATATATGCATGATATATATACATATATTCACACATATACACACATAATATATACACATCCACATACATATGCATGTATGCATGCATCTATACACACATTTACACACATTCACAAGCAGACACACACACGTACACACATATACACACATATATAATATATACACACATACACATGCATATACACACACATGCACATATATATACACACAGGACACATATGCACACACATAAACATATGTACAATATATACAAATATACATATCTGTATATACATATACACACATATATACATACACACATGCACATATATGTATGCCTATATACATGCATACACATATACACAGTCATGTGCCATATGACATTTTACTCAATGATAGATCACATATATGATGATAGTCCCATAAGCTTATAATATTAAGTTGGTGCAAAAGTAAGTGCTGTTTTTGCCATGAAAATGGCAAAATCTAATACAACTAAAAAATTCCTATCACCTAATGATGTCATAACTGTTGTCATGTCGTAGCACATCACATTCCTCATGCGTTTGGATGATGCTGGTGAAAATAAACCTACTGGGCTGCCAGTCATATAAAATATAACACATACAATTATGTACAGCTCACAGCACTTGACAATAATAATAAATGACTATGTTACCGGTTTCTGTATTTATTATACTTTTTATCGCTATTTTGAGAGTGTACTCCTTCTACTTATTTTTAAAAGTTAACCGTAAAACCACCTCCAGCAGGTTCTTTAGCAAGTATTCCAGAGGCGACACTGTTAGCCTAGGAGATGACAGCTCCATGTGTGTTGCGTGTCATTGCCTTTGAAGACCTTCCAGTGGGACGAGATGTGGAGGTGGAAGGCAGTGATACTGACGATCCTGACCCTGTGTAGGCCGAGGTTAAGGTGTGTGTTTGTGTCTTAGTTTTTAACCAAAAACTTTAAAAGCTTAAAAAAATTAAAAATAGACACCTTATAAAGATCTAAAGAGAGAAAATATTTTTGTACAGCTGTACAATGTGTTTGTGTTTTAAGCTAAGTGTTACTTTATAAAAGAGTCCAAGTTTTTAAAATTAAAAAGTTTATAAGGTTAAAAAGTAATAGTAAGCTAAGGTTAATGTATTATTGAAGAAAAAAATTTAAAATAAATGTAGCATAGCCAAAGTGCACAGTGCTTGCAAAGTCTACGGTGGTGCACAGTCATGCCCTGGGCCTTCCCATTCACTCACCACTCACTCACTGACTCACCCAGGGCAGCTTCCAGTCCTGCAAGCTTCATTCATGGTAAGTGCCCACACGAGTGTATCATTTTCTATTTTTATGCCATATTTTTACGGTACCTTTTTATGTTTAGATACAAAAACACTTACCATTGTGTTATAATCGTTTACAACATTTTATACTGTAACACGCTGTACAGATTGGTAGCCTGGGAGAAATAAGCTGTACCATATGGCCTAGGTGTGGAGTAGGCTACGCTATCTAGGTTTGTGTTAAGTATACTCTGATGTTCACTCAATGACAAAATCGCCTAGCAATGAATTTCTCAGAATGAATCCCTGTTGTTAAACAATGCATGATTGTACATACACTCCCCACCACACACACACACACGCGTGCACACACATACACGTACAAGCATACCTCAGAGATATTGCAGGTTTGGTTCTAAACCATGGCAATAAGTATCACTATTAAGTGAGTCATACAAATGTTTTGGTTTTCCAGTGCATATACAAGTTACGTTTACACTATACTATAGTATATTAAGTGTGCAATAGCATTATATCTGAAAAATGTACAGATCTTAATTTGTAAATACTTTACTGTTAAAAAATGCTGACACAGAGATAGGAAGTGGGTACACGCTGTTGGAAAAATGGGACCAATAGACTTACTTGACATAAGGTTGCCACAAACTTTCAATGTGTAAAAAATACAGTCTCTATGAAGCCCAATAAAGTGAAGTGTAATAAAACTAGATATGCCTGTATAAAGTTTTGTTCATCTGCTGACAACTTGTTAACATTCTGTCTTAATATTACCTCTTCATTAACATGAAGTCCCAGGCTTTTTGCATGTCCTCTGTCATCTCGGTGCAACTTCTGATCATAATCTAGTCGCCTCTTAAAAACACAGTCATAGAGGGAAATAATTCCTGTCTAGGAAAAAAAGAGAAAGAAAGCCGTGGGTTAATTTGAAGGCTGGGTCATGGAGGCCCGATGGAGCATGGATGCCAGTTCTTTCCCAAGGGAGGCTGGAGGTGCATGTGGTGAGTATGTGATAGGAAAGGTCACCTCACCAAGCAGAACCGGCTGTGATGTGGAGCAGGGAGAAGCCCAGCCCTCACCAGCAAGAGAAGGTTGTTAAGAGGCCCAGGATGAAGGAGGGACATTTTCATGGCACTTCTCAACTTTCTCCTCCCTTGTAGAGAGAGGTGGTTCCCCAAGCTCTCTTGCTGTCTGACTCCATTGCTAGAGCTCAAACTTTAAAATAAAAATTTGTCTTAGTCCATTCAGGCTGCTATAACAAAATAACATACAGACTGGGTGACTTCTAAGCAACAGCAGTGTATTTCTCACAGTCCTGGAGGCTGCGAGGTCCAAGTTCAAGGCCCTGTGAGACTGAGCGTCAGGTGAGGGCCCTATTTATGATTCACAGATGGTGTCTTCTCCATGTATCCTCACATGCTGGAAACGCAAACAAGCCCCCTCAAGCTTCATTTATAGGGGCACTAATTCCATTTATGAGAACTCTGCCCTCAGGCCTAATCCCCTCCCAAAGGCCCCGCCTCCCAATACCACCACATTGGGGGTGAGGCTTCAACATATGAATCTGGGGAGACACAAACATTCAGACCATAGCAAAACCACATCTCTAAGGTTACACATGTGTGTACTTTTCCTTCATTTCTACTTGTCTTGTCTTCTCAGATTTTCTATAATAAGCTTCAGCTTCTTTGAAAAAGAAACAATACCTACATACTAGGATAATGAAACTTAACAGAAGTCATCTTTTAAGTCACTAGTGCAGGAGCCAAGGGCAGACGTCTTCTTTGCCTTCTGAAGGTTGCCTGAAAATCAACTGACAGAAGGGAGATTAAAAGAAGAAAGGGTATACACATTTTTATTCCTGTGCATGGGGGACATCTCAGGGTGATTACCCCACCACACCATGGGCTACAGATGCTTGCACAGCCTTCTTCATATGAGAAAGGAAGATGGGGAAATGTGGATGATCGAGGGAGGTAGTAAGTTATTTTTAGGGGGATACAATGGTCTGGGAGAAAGTCTGTTGGGCCCACAGAGCAGCCGATGGTCTGTGATGAAAGTCTGTCCAGGCGTCTTAGCAGACTTCAACCTGTCTTCCCAGGATGTGAGTGCAGTTAATGAAAACGCAGGGAAGCTACCAGGGGTCATTGTTTTCTTCTTTGGTGAGTCCAGACTTTAGGCAAATAAGTGAATTTTAGAGATCAACTTCATCAAGTGCTTTGGGAGAGACAAACAGTTGAGAGACAGGAGCCAGGGCTGGGGTAGGGGCGGTCAGAGAGACTGTGAGCCTTCTTTTCTTGAGGCCAGAGTGTCAGAGTGCCATAGTTTGGTGTATTGGTTCCTGAACTCTAACACTAGCCAAGAGTCAGGCTGTCTATGTGCAAACCCCTCTCTTGAAAGATAAAAGTATTTTTTCTTTAATCATACGTGGTAAGTGTGACACTTGGTAATCCATAAATATATGAATACATATATCATATATAATATACACGTATATATCATATGTATGTAATTTACATACACACACAACTCTGATGTATTAGAAAATGACCCATTAACAAAGCTATCATCTGTATTATCTCCATTTTATCATCCCAACTTTTTCTGAATACAAAAGAAAATCTTCCTTGTTCAGTATCTAGTAAAAAAAAAAAAAGAATGCATGTGTTAGCTGGTCTTTAATCTTCACCTTGTCATGCCATTCGTTATTTCAGCTGCCTTAAATTTTCTAGCAGCAAACTCAGACATGTCTCCGTGGGATTTGGGAGCATTAGGTCTCTAGCTTATGCTTGGTTGGTTTTGTTTTTGTTTTTGTTTTTTTTCCCAGTTAGTGATGCAAGAATGATTCCCTCCAACAGGAGGATACAGAGGTAGAAGTAAGCAGTGAAAAGGATGCAAGACTTCTATATAGTATGTTGGAAAACACGTAATGCCCACTCACAGTGACTGCAGGAACTCGGCACTCTGGCCTGTAATGGGAATAACTAGATCATAACGTAGCTTTGTCCAATCCTTAGCAAATCATTCACAGATCATCTGTCATGTGCAACATGCTGTGCTCCTGCTGAGGGAATTTAGAAGATAACTCAGACATGGCTACTGTCCTTACTCAATGAGCCATCTAGTAAGGAAACAACATGGTCTTTAAGAATTATTACTTTAAGATTCGTAAGAATTCCAACAGCAACATGTGTAAGGTGCCTGGCCAGCCACTGCAGGGAACCTGGTATGTCTTAGTTCAGAATTACTCTAGTCGGCTTGAAGGAGGAAAGCAACCTCCAACCAGGAGCTGTGGCTTCTGCGTCTGTGCCTCTGCTGGTCATTTTATGAGTTACCAGACACAAGCATCTCTTATCATTGTCTTCACTCTCACTCAACTTCTGGATGTGTTCACGTCAAACCACCCTGGCCCTCATGTCTCCTGATGGCAACCTACCGTATAGCTGCGTACCCACAGGATTTTGTAAAAGCCTGAATCAATGGAGAATTGATAAGCCATTCAACATTTAGTATTGTGACAATTGGCTAGTTATTTGGGCCTTCACATCACACTATAGCCAAAAGTAAATTCTGGATGATAAGACAAATGAAAAAGAAAATCCATTCAAAAGCTTGTACACAGGAAAACAATAGGTAAAATGTCAAAAATATCAATCACTTTGACTACCTACAAATTAGACATTTGCTTAGCAAATAAAATGAAAACTTTAAAAAACCATTTTAAGACATGATAGAGAAATCTCAATATCTTTAACATCCATAACATAGGCAGCTCTTGGTGCAGAAGCCAATCTGCTGCTGGCCTGCAAGGCTAAGCAAACCTTTTTGGGATGGGCCACCTAGTAACACACATGAAGCCCAAGTACACCACACACACTCTGCAAGGATGAGGGAGGATAAATTCTCCAGAGTAAATACATTGCCATCTAGACCTTTCCTTTGAGATTCAGAGCCACTGGCCGGCCAATAGCTTGATCTCCATCACCCCCATGCTACCACACATACACCCAATATTTTAAGGGATTCAATATCAGCCAGGCTCTTGCTCACCATCTAGGTGTTCTGTTGCCTCTGGAATCCCTTCTGACCTGGCTGACCCTGTTCCATGGGCTTTGGGGAGAACAGCTGCAGTGTACAACACGAAGACCTAGTCTCTAGAACTGAACCCCTGGAAGAAAGCTACACTCATGGCCAGGAGGCCCTCTCTCCTCCTGCACCCTGAGAACCTTGAGGCAAAGTGGAGTGACTGATGGCCCTTCAAACCCTATAATGCTTCCTGCGTGTGGGCAGCCCCCCTTACCCAGTGTATTAGTCTGTTCTCATACTGCTGATAAAGACATACCCAAGACTGGGCAATTTACAAAAGAAAGAGGTTTAACGGGCTTACAGTTCCATGTGTCTAGGGAGGCCTCACAATCATGGCAGAAGGTGAAAGGCACTTCTTACATGGCGGCAGCCAGAGAGAGAGCTTGTGCAGGGAAACTCCCCTTTTTAAAACCATCAGATCTCATGAGACTCATTCACTATCACAAGAACAGTGCAGGAAAGATTCACCCCCATAATTCAATGGAATTATAATCCTACTGGGTTCCTCCCACAACACATGGGAACTGTGGGAGTTACAATTCCAGATGAGATCTGGATGGTGACACAGCCAAACCATATCACCCAGATCTGAGAGACAGCCCTCCAGAGTGGGTGGCATGAACAGCAGGGAAAATAGATCCTCCAGGAACTGCCTGGTCTTGTATTTTCTTCGGCACAGTGATTTTAATCAGGTCCGACCCTCCTGAACTGAGTGAGCGCCCACTGGGGTGCTTGGATTATCCTGGGAGAAAACTCTGAAGAAGAAAGGACTTCAGAATAGAATGAGAATGCAATTACTATTATCAGAATGAGAAAGGATATGTTCATTCATTTTGTTCCCTATATTGAAGAAGCCCAGTGTAATATGCAACTTTACAGAGAAAATGCCTATTTCTTCTCATTCTAATCAGGTCTCCTAAAACACTATAAAAGCAACCACTAGGAGCAGCCACGCCTGCCTCACAATCCCTGGATTAGTTGCCAACGATCTTCTACATCTTAGTCTTTACTAGGAATCTCACTGCTTGTGGGTATGGAGTGATCAGAATCTCAGGAAGCTTATTTTTGTGCAGATTTTGCATATTCAGAACTTTCCAGAGTACAAATGAATTTTTCTATCATTGAAAAATAAGGACAAAAAAAAAAAATCATCAGTAGACAGGCAGCCTCACTTTGAAATGTGACTATCCATTTTCAGTAACTAATCAAACTGAAAATCTGTCGTTTCCCTGGATTTTAATTATTAATCTTTCTTTTTTTTTCTTTTATTTCCATATGGCTTGAAGCAAAATGGTACGAATAAAAACCAATTGGGATTTAGATGCTAATCACAAGACAGAGCTTCTGAAATTACTGAAATTTTGCCATTAAAATTCCTCAAGGAATTGTCTCTATTTCACAGATGATGTTCCCTTTTTTTTTAGAGAGAAAAAAAAAGAAGCAAAACAGAAAATATCCATTTTTTACCTTGTGATCTCTCCCTTTGTGTTTTGAATATTGTTAAAATGTAGCATAACCTTAGCCTGGTCATGGTACCTGATCACCTACCCTCAGTTTACCTCACAATAACCTCCACCCCGATCCTGAGACATTGCTTTGGTCCACAGACCTGGGCAGATGATGTGGGTAGAGTGGAGGCCTCCAGTTTTCAACCTCCACAGCACATTAGGCCTACCATTGTGTGAGACACTATGCCAGGCTCCAGGACAGAAATGGTGAGTCCCTACCTTAAAGAGACCACAGACTAAGAAGAGAAATCAACCCATTAGTTATGAACCACAGAAAAATACAGATGGAATAAGAGA